ACCAAAACCCCATATGGTAGCGATAATAACCGGGCGGCGCGGGGGCCAATTCTGGCCCGCCGAACCATCAAATCCGGCCCGCAACTGGATTCCAAAATAAACGTCAAATAATTATGTTAGACAAAACTGTGATTTTTTTTTTTTTATTTCCTTGTGTCTGGCTCCAAGGTGTGTGTCCATTTACTTGTGTCTGGCTCCAAGGTGTGTGTCCAGAAAAATCCTGGTCTTTTACCTTATGTTTGCATTTCACCAATGGCATTAAATGCATTCATCTAAATATGCTGAGGATCCTGTCTCTGATCTCATTGGTTGGAGTGGTAAACGCATTACAGCATGTGCTGATTTAATTTTCTGACATCATCATGATGGAATCATTCGTACCAGAACATGATGACCTGCGGCTCACTGTAGCGGTGTGTGTGCCGCCAAGACTGACGAACATCAGCCCACACTGAGATCTGTCCATACATTGTTGCCCTTTTATTGACCTTGACCTTTGACTCGTTAGACGCTGACTCAAATATAGCTCCATTTATTCAAAACAGAAGCACACGGAGACAAATGAAAAAACACACAGACGTCATCAAATCACTGTTGTCTCTTGTAGCGTCAATGATTTTTATGTAGCCATAGCTGACAGTGAGATCTGCTTTAATCAACATTTAGTACAGGCTTAATGAGCCCTGTTGTATAGCCATAGCTCACATTCATTAGACGAGTCACTTGAATGGACAAACAACCACTGTCACTTTAATTACCAACGCACATTCAGTCTGCTGCTTTGGTTCTTGTTCCGTGTCCTGCCCCGTGATACAACGAAGAAGAACAGTTTGTTTTCCGATCATTTGCGAACATTAGATCCAGTAGCAACGTGAGCAGGGCTTGCATTCATTAATCATTGAACATGTCATGTACAGCTGTTTGAAATACGACTCATTAGACGGTGAAGTGTTCTCCTGGATTTATATAGGTCTTTGTCATTTAGAGCTACGTTAAGTTTTTATTTGATCAAAGCTTGAAGCCTTAAAATTTAATTTAAAAAAGAAACAATTTCAAACACATCAAATTTATAAATACCTTCAAATGTAACATAATTTAATTCTTGAAATTTTGCAACCAGTTCTGATAACCAAATCTGATATTTCCTAAACCCATCCATCCATTTTCATCCGCTTATCCGTTACCGGTTCGTGGAGGCAGTAGCCTCCACCCAAATCACACTCCACCATACCAGCCCCCCCCTAAACCTTCCTGCAGGTGGAGAGTCCACTGGAAGGTATTAACCGCCCTAACCGGGATTCGAACTTGCCCAGGAGGTGAACCCTGGGGTGCCACAC